TTTTTATTTAATAGCTGATTGAATTGGCTATTAGATAAACGCCCCAAAAAGCCCTGCTGATGCTCATGATCTCTACAGACATGGGGCAAGCCAGGTCAAACTGATGCTGTGCCTCTTCTGGGCATGCTTGGCATGGGGGTATGCTGAGCTGAAAGTGAAGTGCTGTTTTGTTTAGGTTTTTTTTTTCATGTCTGTAAACAACCTTTGTTTTGGTGTCAGATCACCATTATGTTTACACTGCTCTGCCTAGGGATTATCTTCATGGGAAGGCTATGCCAGTTAAAATTATGTTGGGGTTTAAACTGATATAGTGAAATTAGTTCAGATCTAATTTAAAGTGAACACTTATATTTTGGTGTAATTTAAACCTGTTCATATTAGATTTCAACTAAACTGAATCAGTTTCTCTATATGGAAATGATGCTTTACATCAGATTTACTAAATCAGGTTTAGATTCCCATCCTAGGCTATTTCCTGGCAACTTTCCTGTCTAGGCAGGTTCTAAGAGGAACTCCAGTAGCTTTGAGAACTATATGCTAAGTGCCTTTGAAAGCTTAATTGTATATTAAAGTGTGCCCTGGAAATGCATGGTTGATGTAGTCTGTTTACAGACACTTCTAACCACCTATCCAGTGTTTCATAATGGTATATTATTGTGAATAATATGGTGAGGGATAGGTGTGCTTAATATTTTACTGGAACCTCAACAGTAGTATTTTTCTCAAGAGTAACTGATCAAAATCACCAAGGGAATTTGCCAGGGAGTCTGAGCAAGGTTCCATTTCTGGAGTCTGTAAAGATAATGGTCTGATTCTACTGCTTATGCTCATGAGTAATCAAGGGGCTCCTGGTGTGGATAAGGACTACTGAGGTGTGTACGCATTGCAGGGTCAGACCCTCTTTGTCCCTCAGGATTGCCATGGTGCAATATAGCATGTTTTCAAAAGCATCTGGTATAAAAATGTATGAGCAAAGCAAGCCTTACAGTGTGCACCCATTGTATGGGCAGATTTGCAGCACGCATACCTTATGCACCCATGATCAAAATCCAGTTCCATTGAGCTTAATAGGCTTTGGACCTCGCTCTTTATGTATTTGGAAGTCTATGTGTTATATAGGGGCCACCCATTTACTGATGGCTCAGACACTGGAACTTGTCTTTTTAATTTGTACTTCAGGCAAAAGACCTTAAACTCAGTGTTGTTCTAATAGCTGGCTATAGAAGTCAGAGGTTGGGCAATCTTCTGTCCATGCATTTAGCATAATTTTTGTTCTCTTTCATCTCTTCTGTGGAGAGGAATGAATGCGTATCGCTGGGGAAAAATCCAGTCCGTACACTTCTGGGATAAGTTTGCATGGAGCACAAACCTCTGCTCTAAGTAGATGGATTTGATGTGGATTTTTGCCAAAATGGACAGATCATTTCCAGCACTTGTCAGACACGAACTGTGAGTTTTAAGAAAACAAAAGACTGTAAAAAGTTTTACAGGACAAAGTCTTGTAGTAGATGCTTATAGGAAGCGACTTGTAATCATGAAACTGTAGCTCATAATATCCTCATTTTCTTCTCCTCATTAAAAGTCACTACAGTTCCTGTCTCTTGCCTCCATATAGAGTTGTTTATCCCATGTCTCTGGGATTATTTACAGAATTTTGCATTTCCTCTTTCCATTGCTATCCCCCAAAAGCATAAATAATCAAAGTATCATTTTGTTTAATTACACAGCTTTTTGTTATTCATTGGTTATCATTTATATATAAGAATGTCTCTCCAAGTAAACATTTGAGTGGGATTTCTGACACTTCGAGTCTCAAAAACTATTCAGTTGGCCAAGAAATGGCTAAGGAATAGAAGCACAAGAGGAATACCAGACCAAGAAGTTGAAAATGATTTGGGATGAATTTCACTAATATTTTCATTACATATAATGTCTTATAAATTACATCGCTTTCTCACTAGGAGGGTGTTTTAAGAACTACAACAGATTACCTAGAGATATGTGGTACCTTCATCATTGGAAGTTTCTAAGTGTGTGTTAGACAAACATTTGTCTGGGATGTTTTCAACTAGGATGATTTTGCCCTAAGCAGGGGGTTGGACCAGGTGACCTCAGGTCACTTTCAAGCCTATTTTTCTATGATCGTAAAAGGTGAGAACAGATTTGTGCCGTGAGGTGGACAGCATTTGGGTGAAAGTGAAAGCTCGGGTGTGAAACAAAACTGAGGTAGGGTCTGGAGAGAACAACATACTAGATAATTGCAGGTAATACAGTAACAACTAGGGGTGGGCAACCAGAGTACGAGCCCTGGAGCAGCAATTTTTAAGGCATAAGAATGGCAATGACTGCCACCATTGCTGCGCAGGGCCTAGAATTGCTTGTTATGTGTCAGGTAATGTGAGGATGTTTATGATGGACCTGACAGACTATGGGCCACCAGTGAGCCAAAACTTCAGGTACATCAGATGTAGCTTGGGGGATAGCTGCGCTGACCAAGAAAATTAAGGACCTCTAAAAGGAGTGAGACTTGCCTCCCTTCTTTGGTGTCAGACTGAGTCATTCACCAGCCTCATCCTACGAAGAGGGGAGACTCCACCACTGTCACCTGTGGTCTTGTAATCCTTTGACTGTGTTAATTAAAATGCTTGTTTGCCTTTGGAACCAGCTGCCCATTTTTAGGGGTTGCTTTGCCCACATCTAACAGTAGTACTGACCTTTTGAGCCCCACTCAAGATCCTTCCTCCATGTTTTAAAGGTCTCTATTTATAGATCCCAGAAACAAGCACCTGTTGTTTCTCTGGGTTTGAAATGTGTTAGTACTTTATTTGCTGCTTGTATTTATAGTTAGTGGCTCTTCAAAGTCTCCTGCATTCCAGCCACCACTTCCCCAGCAGCCTGTGGTCACAGCTGCCTCTTGTGGGTTGTATATTTGGAGCAGAGTAGGACATGGTTTTTTACCAAATAAAATTGATTGCATTTTATTTTAAAGGTTACAGAGATTTAACATGTCCAATAAAATAAGTTTTTGGTGTAAGAGTCTTTGCTGCTGCTGGTTTTGTAAAGGTGACTAACTAGGCAGATTTCAAATTGAAACATTTGTAGAACTTGATCTGTTTGCCTGACGTATTGTACAATGGTTGCCTTTTATTGCAACAGGCAAAACGAGTGGTCTGGAGTTGAAGGCATTAGTGTGAGCGGTAGCACACATGAATTCCATTGTGGTTCAGCACAATTTCCCATCAGATCTTAGGTAAAGCAGTAAGGGCAGCAATTCCCAGTCTTTGGGCTGGGACCTCACCTGTCATTTTGTGATCCAGCTTCTATTCCAAGGCCACCCACAGTAAATGAATTTCTGTGGGACTCGTGACCCTGAATGGAAATGCTGAGACCCTATTTGTGGCCATGTATAAAAGGAGGGAGCAAACCTGCACTAGCCAAAGGACTGGGCAGCAGGGAATGGACTGGCTGCCTATGGTAAAGAGACTTCTTTCTTGCTCTCTTTCTTCTCACACTTGCAACTGAGCATTTCTTGAAGGTTTCTTTAGGCCCTTATTTTTAGTGCTCTGCCCTTTTCAATCTGGCCTACATGCCCTGACAGATAGTAATTGGGAGGGAGGTATAGTTGGGATGCATCCATGCTGCAATCAAAAGATGTGACTGCAGCTCATGAAACACCCCAGCTAGCACTTCAAACCAGCTAACTCAGATACTGTAAAAGTGCAGCTGTTATGGTAATTACCTGACTATTTACCTAGGTTTTCAGGTCAGCATACATTGAACACCATATTGCCCTAGCTACTCTGCTAGCAATATCTGAACTAAGCAGTTAAAGCTAGCTTGGGGAGGTGAAAATTAGGTCTGTGCGAGTAGGCAGCTATTTGATCCGGCTTCGGATCTGGCTGCTTCGGATGCCAGTGATCCAATACAGAGCTCCGGGCCGGGTTCCTGCTTTGATCCGGCTGAAGTGGCTCTGAAGCTTCGGAGCCACCTCAGAGATACGGCCGTAGGGTATAATGGGGAATCAATAAAATATCTATAACTTTGTTGTTTTTTGTCTGATTTGAATTAAACTTGCAGAGGTGGTAGCCTCTGCTGAGAGCATGCAGCCTCCCAAGTTTCAAGAAGATCGGTGCAGGGGTTTGGGGGGAGCTGCACCCCAAATTCTTGAAAGCAAAACTCATGTCACGTGTATGTGTTACACCACAAGGGGGTGAAAACTGCAGGGGTGGTGGCCCCTGCTGAGGCCATGAAGCCTGCCAAGTTTCAAGGAGATGGGTGCAGGGTCCGAACCATGGTCCAAAGCCTTGCACAGCCCTAGTGAACATGAGCTGTAGTTGCATCTTTTACTGCTGTGAAGAAGTACTCTTACGTTTTAGGGTCTGGAACTGTCTTGGATGGCTACTTGGCCCGGGAATCATGGGACCTGGCTCAAGCTTTCTAAGACAAAATGATTACGACTTTGCCTCTGTGTTTGGCTATAGTGAGCCAACGCTTCAGCTGTCTGAATTTTTGTTGCATGGGAATTGTGCACCTCTCCCATCATTTCTTCTCTAAGGTCTGATGGTTTCCTTATGTGGAGCAGCACGCACGGAGCACAGCCCCAAAGGAAGATTGAAGACAAAAATAGTTACCTCCAGGAGGGAGTAGGCGCTGGGAAGAAATTGCTTTTAAAAAACAGTAATAGGATGTGTTCTTGAAGACTGCCTCTAAAGTAATGTCTCTGTTCAATGTAAAGGGAAGAATGCATGAGACAGCATTTCAGTCTGCAAAATACTTGTTTCTGTTTCCAGAATGCCCTTGAGCCAGGATTCTCATTCATTTGCCCAGATGCACAGCTTTCATTGCACTGTCATTTCATTAGAAGAACTGAACCAGAATGAAAAAGGAATTGGTCATCAGGTGGGGGTGAACTGAGACATGAGGAGCAGCCCTGGGAGGAGCAGAGAGAAGCTTCATAGAGCAGAGGAGAAATAGGACTAGAAAA